CCTAAATGAAAACATGAATGGATATAATTATGCATTTTTTTCAGTGGGCTATATCTAAAAGCTGTTTTCAAAACCTGCATTTCTCTTGTCTACTGCCTTTGCAAGCCCTCCCCTTCTAACCCTGCCCAGACTTTCTGTGCTATCCAATAACAGGCTTACCAATGCAACTCAGTGAAAAGTTTTTACAAGGCTGGAGCTCTGAGCAATTGCTGCCGCTTGTGTTTAGCTCCACTGAGATAACTAAACCAGGAAGTAACAGGACCTGTTCTCTGCTTGAAAGCCAGGGGAGGGGTTAACTAGGTATATTCATAAAAATGTAAATTTCGAATGAAATCTGCACTTTTTGCAAAATGAAAAAAAGAGAACACACATATATATATAGTTAATACAATGTTAAACAAAAATCTGCACACCAGTCAAGCCATAAGAAGAAATAAAACATTGCAGTAATGTTACTACCGCAAAGGATCCTGATGTTTTCAGCTGCAGGGTTAAAACTAGAGGGGCCTGGCACCCAGACCACTTCATTGAGCTGAAGTGATCTGCGTGCCTACAGTGGTCCTTTAATATTACTATGAGGACGGACAATTTTTTAGTAAGAACCCCTTATTTGCACATAGGCATCCCAACATACCTCCAGTTGCTTTCAATTAGTATTGTGCTACGAGACTGTTGCTTCCAAAACCTGCCCCTCTTGCCAACCCTCCCCGAATACAACCACATGCGTGCGTCCAGTCAAATAGAAAATTACTATACTTAAATATCATGTATAAATACATATGTTTAACCCTAACTTTAAGTAAATTCATCATCTATGTGCATTCATTAGTTCAAAACGTTAGAATTTGTTACAGGTCACTTGTTTTATGACTCAGGGGTAGTAAACCTTTGGCACTCCAGGTGTTGTGGACTACATCTCCCATTATGCTCTGCTAGCATTATGGCTGTTATGACATTATGGGAGATGTAGTCCACACCATCTACAGTGCTGACGGTTGCCTACCCTTGCTTTTATGTATTACTGATATTGTTTACCTTCTTAATAGAAACTGTCTGGAAGCCCAGGACCCATATTGTACATGGGATGCTGAAAACAATCGATGCGTCTTCATTCCAAATGGATTCAGGTATACGTAACATCTGTGAGAGTTCTAGTTGTGTAAATGAACTGGTAATACTGACTGTAATGTGGGGTCATTTAATTAAAGTGATAAATATTAATACACATACTGATACCAAGGGAGCACATATACTAATATCCTTACCGCTACTCAAATTGACATTAAATGGCATATTTAAAGAGGATGAGAGGGTAAGCATAGTGAGACTATAGATCTGTGATGTATATATTACCACAAGGCAAAACATAAAAAGGTTATTATGGCATACTATACAGGAATACATTTTGAAAATGGCAATATAAGGTTGTATAAGTCTATGTCATGTTATAAAGAAAGGTCAAATTTACCTGACTACGTTCTATAAAGAAGTGCATAAAATATATATCACTCGGTTGTGAAATATTTAGAGTTCACTAATAAAGTGCCTTTTGCCCACTGACATGGAAAACTAGATTAAAGAGGGATTTGGGCCCAAAATAGGGACTGTCCTTGCTAAATATGGGACACTTGGGAGGTATGGAATCATATTTACATTCAGAAATAAAAAAAATTTTTAAAAAGGGAGTGGTCCACAAAAAACAAGGTCATATGTATAAAAAAGTACATATGTGAGCTTGAATTTAACAGCAACATTTTGAGGGACCAATGTGGTTGTAATAGGGAAATAATGTGTTGTCAGAGTTCTTTTTCCTTTCAAAAAGCACCCATTCAAAATATTTAGAGGGGGACTGTCACTTGGGGGTCTTTCCTAACTATACGATAGGCTCCCATTTTTTTTTTTAAATCTACATTCTTCTTAAAATAAGAAAAGTGTGGGTGATGGCATCCTCAGATAATTAGCTCAGTTTTGCTTGTTAAAAAAGCTGTCTGTCAGATTATAGCCAAACAGGCTAACAGAAATAAAAAAAAGTGAGAGATTAAAATGCAAGTATAGGAAGAAGGTCACACTTAGATAGAGTAGCAGTGCTTAAAGAGAACCTCAGGACACCATAATTGCTTTATACGTCCAAAGTTGTTATGGGGCCAAGAGGTCGCCGGCGCCGTCTTACTGGCGGAGCACGTCAATGATGAAGTGATAAATTATTGGTGATACATAAACTAATCTACTGTACAATTAGGGAAGCCTCATATCTGCAGTCTATTTTTTTTATGTGCAGATTTTTGCTTATTATAATAAGATCTAATACAGATTTTTTTCATTTTATACAGTGAATTTGGTCCCTGTTAACCTTATAATATTTAACCCATTTAAACAAAATGCATTATATTTTAAATTTTATTGGTTGTTTTCCTTAAGGATGGTTTTATGGAGCCTTGTTTTTCCTTTCTTGTTTTAGCTATATTTTAAGACTAAATATGTTTTGACTTTTTTGATAATTTTTCTCTGTTCTTTAGAAATTTGCATTCAGTCGTTCCCTGCCATAGTGCACATGTAATTTAATTTGTTTTGAATAAACTAGATAACTTACAACATGTGTTAAAAGGGCCCTTAACTGCCCAAATTAAAAATCACTGTTTAATAGATAGACCCCCAATGAAAACATACAAGTACTTAATTATGAGGTTTTCTTTAAATTGGTGTATAGTTAAAAAGCAGCTTGCAAAAGCTGCAGATCTCTTATCTGCAGCCTTTGGAAGCACTCCCTTTCTTCCCAAGCCCAGACTTTCCATGGCTGTCTAATCGCAGACTTTCCAATACAGCTCAATGAGAAGTCTTTGCAAGGCAGGTGCTCTGAGCTAAACAACCAGGAAGTAACAGGACCAGTCGTCTGATTGACAGCCAGGGGGGTGTAACAGGCTTGATTGATAAAAGTGACAATTTCTATTGAAATCCGCACTTTTTGTAAACACACTCATCATACATAAAACACTTCAGCAAGCTTACATGCTTAGGGGTCACTAGTGTTCCTTTAAAATGCATGGATGTTGTCTAAGTGCATGCAGCATTTTACAGCCTGACTATAAATCTTGATTTCATTTTGCAATCCCTCAATAATTTCATACAGTTCCCAAGATGAGCAGGACCAGAGTGGGAATCAAAAATTTAACCTTGGTGACTGTGAAGGTGAGGGTGATTTTGATCGTTTTCATAATTTGTGTTTAATGTGTTATGTTTTTTTCTCTCGTTATTTGATCTTTTATCAACCCATGTTTTTCATTTTCATAGGTGTACTGACACAGAGCTTCGTGGAACAGCTAAATAGAGAAGTGTCTCTTAACATCCTAGTAATTTCATCAGTTGCAGCCTTTTTAGTGGGTGCATTGTTGTCCGGAATAGGTGTATGCTGGATGAGTTCTCAACAGAGGAATAATCTACCATGCAGGCAAAAGCAGAACGACACCAGTCTGAGTCAAGGCAATTCTGTGCAAAGTATGAGTCACAGTGAAAATTTAGGTCATCCAGAACAAGACACTCTTCTTACCTCTCTCATATTACATAGCTGGAATCCAGAGCACGGCAAGGATCATACCGGCATTCCACCCACTCCAGAACAAACTCCTCAACAACACAGGAAGGGAATTAATCCCCAAGACTATCTCACCTGTTCTCTACAAGAACCCTCCATAATTCTATTGAACTCAGATACTAATCCACTGAAAATCACACGCACGCAGGATACTTACTATCCAAAAACAGAGGATACGCAGTATCTACCACCAGCTAGGGAATACTATTTGCCCATTTGCGGAGAGGAACATCGATATTTACCCCAGCATGGTGAAGGAAATCAATATATAACTGAAGATGAAAATCCTTATTACGTGCGCCAGCACAAGCAAAAAGACCCTTGCTACCTCTCTCCACAGGCCGAAGATGGTAATTTTTATTCGCAGCACGGAGATAACATTTGCTACTTTCTTCCATGTAGGAAGACTCAATATTTATCACATCGCCAATCTCAGAATCAGCTCTTACAAGGACAGAGCTCCCACTGTTTGCTACCAGACATGTTATCCCAGTCGTATTTATGCAGTAAGCGCAAACATGTAGTATCAGCGCCGCCGATGAGAGGTTTTACTGGTCACAAGTCCAGGACTGCACTCCACAAATTATCTGCATAACTTGAAATTTTGTGGACAATTGGTCATATCCACTTGAATTTTATACTTACGGTCAGGGCCTTCCCTGAGTTTGATACCTAGTTCAGACTTTAGGTTTAATGCTGCGGGTTGGCATGTTTTAGCCCCCTCAGCACAAAGAGAGAAAATAGTGTGACATGATGAAGAAGATGTTGCATTTAAGGACCTTTACCTTTGTAGGTCAAGTAGCGATCTTGTGAGACAGCTGGACAATATACAGCGAGATATGGTGGGGGAGATAAGGGTCAGTTTTTATGATATTCTCTGATCAGCCAAGCACAATATGTCCATATAAATATTTTAATTATTGTTCTTTGGTAAACACTGGATGAAGATGAAGCAGCATATGGCCAATACGAATGTGTGTGTATGCTAGAATGTTTTGGGTTCTTTTTTTTTTTTTAGATGGGATTGAAGGAAGTAATTGGGCTTTTAGGTAGGTGTAGGATTTGAACGGTAAGGAGGATTTTCATGATTTTGTTATATATTCGGTTACACTGCTGCAGCTGCAAAACAGCAAAATGTTATCATATACATATATAAAAGAAAAAGTATATATATATAAAATGTTGCCTTTTTATAGCTAAATGCTAGCACACCACACTGTATATGAAATGTACATCTTAAAATGAAAATCAAGAAACTGTAAAAAATAATGGAGAGTTGTGAATGAAAATTAATACAATGCAAGAATTACCTGTCAAGAAAAACAAGTCACAAAAACTGTCTGAAAGCACTATAATTTATTTAAAATATATATATATATCTGAGGTCAAACCAAGCAAACAAAACTCTAGGGGCCTAGTCCTCATAGAAATACAGGCATCACTAAAGACATGAAGAATGAACATTTTAATGAAACAATGCGGAGGGTTATTTATGTGGGACTCCTGGAAGGACAGTCCTGATTTCAGAGTTTTGCCCAGCTGTCCACATTTATTTCTCAACATGATCACATCTTTAGACTAACTCACATGCAGCGAGTGCTACGACCATGTAGAGAGCACTTGAAAAGCTCTCTCTGAATGTTGTGGACCAACTGCGAGGCTCTATGGCAGCCTGGAAGACTTGATACCAGGTTGACTCATCCTTTACGGTTGTCACCGTTCCCACCCACCCACCAAACCATTACGGTTTTAGGAGGTATGAGTATGTCAGGAACAGCATGGCAAAAGTTGATTTTGCTTTGTACATAAGGTGGCAGGTTCTCAAAGCAGTTGCCTGTGGCAAATTGGAAAAGCCTTAAAACATGGTAGGCAACCATCGGCACTCCAGATGTTGTGGACTACATCTCCCCTGATGCTTTGCCAGCATCATGGCTGCAAGAGCATTATGGGAGATGCAGTCCACAACATCTAGGGTGCCGAAGGTAGCCTACCCCTGTACTAAAATAATATAGCACACTCTTAGCTTGCCAAGAATAACTGGAATAGCCGACCCAGCTGTAGGTCCCCCCCTCCCACCTCCATCCCAGTGACTGTAATGCCGCTCTCAGGTTCCTAATTACAATGAGGATTAATTTTCAACTTCCTGACAGATCTATGAACTCACAGTATAGCAGGACCCGCTGCTCTATGTAGTGTGTAGTATGAAAAATTGAAAAAAATACAGAGCAGAGTACTTTTATAAAGGTCAATTTGTTCGGGCACATAAATTCATGCACATTTATATGCAATGCATATAAAAGTATTATGCTTAAAATAATAGTACAGCTAATTTAATCAATAATAAACTAAATTTGATTTTAAAACAATTTTGTTGTTACAAATGGAATTACAAAAGTCTCATATGTTAAACAGAACTATGATGAACCTCTTTTGCCAGTATATGAGAACATGCAACCTCCCTCCCAAACAATGAAAAACGGAATAAACCATCAACATAACAATACTAAGAACATTATTTTCTCTCCTCTAATCCTCTTACTGATTCATAGTACCAAACAGAGAGAAAACACTCCTTTCTGTTAAAGAAACTTGAGACGCATGCTAAGGTGTTTTTGTTGTGTTTTGGAGGTCCCCCTTTGTAATTTTTGCTAAAAGTCCCTGTTTCATAATGAGGCACTTTATTAAAACAGGAAGGTAGTGCCCCATAGTGCAAATACACACATGCGGATACATAGACTGACACACATGCAGATACACAGATACAGACACTGACACGCATACAGATACAGACAAAAAAAATCACACAAAGACACTGATACAAACACTGACACAAACACTGATACACATGAGGAGACACACATACATTTGCACAGACACAATGACACACATAGATAAAACACTGACACGTACAGATATAGACACACTGATACACCTACTGACATACATGCAGATACACACATACAGTTGCAAGGACATACTGAAACACACACTCACACATATACAAATGTAAAGTCACACAGGTACAAACACTGCCACACATGCAGATACACAGATGGCAACATTGATATATACAGTTGAAAAGACACACTGCCACACATGCAGATACAAACACTGCCACACATACAGATACAGACACACACACTGCCACACATACAGATGTACGTACACACAGATACAAACACTGCCACATATGCAGATACACAGACACACAGGTACAGACACATGGAAACAATCACTAACACACACGCAGATACAGACACACATATACAAATACAGATACACACTGCCACACATGCAGATAAACACACACATACTGGTACATGTATAAATACACAGATGTACAGATAAAAAGACATACAGATACACACTGACACATACATAGACATAAAGATACATAGACATACAGACACACACATATACACTGACACAGATACACACACTCACATGCAAACAGTTACAATGACACACACAGATACCAGGGCCGGCCCAGGACATTTTGCTGCATGGGTCCCCCAAAACCATGCCACCAAACTACGCACACATTCATTATGTTGTATTATGATAATTAAAACCAACATTAAATATATCATGATTAGATAAATACATTCTAGTAACATATTTAGGTCAATGCACACTAAATTAAACATCACAACTTAAATATTAGCCAAGTACAATATACGTCAATAACTAACAATAAGGTCTGTGATGAGACCAGAGACCAGAGCGTCGATGGAGAAAAGGTAAGTAAATTCTCACCTTTTTACGCACTTGGAGGTGGGCTGGGCACCTAAACATTGAACCGTAGCTATAATTTTAGGAATACACTATTGTGTTCCTTTTATGAAATCTTGACTTTACGTCATGTTAATAGTAAAATAAGGTAATTTTATTAGAAGACACGGAGGCTCATATTATGCTGGTTCAAAGCCGTGAAATAACAGAAGAAGTAAAATGCGGAGATGGACAAAAATAGTACTTCCCAAAGATAGATTTGCAAGACAAGTCAGCTTTCAGAAGGTCTTCCAGTCGGCAACCCAAGGAGAAAATTTAAGATGCCATGGCAGCTCTCATGGAGTGTGCTCCAAACACTGAAGTATCGACATCAGCAGATGTCATGATCCATGTCATGAACTTCCCAACTTCAGAAGTGATTTAAATGCAATCTTAGCCTCCCTAGTGATGTCAAAAGAAACTCCGTCAGGAGTATAAGAATGTGCCTCACTATCATATCCTTGGATGTTTGAAACACACTTGCAGGATATTGCTTGCATGACCGATTTGGTCATTGTGGCGTCAATTAGTGAATGGAATTCCTCAGATTTAATTTGCTCTTGTGAAGCTATTTCATCCCCAGAGAGCAATGGGTCTTCAGACTGGGCAAGAGGCAAGGGAGCATTAGCAGAGCTAACAGAAGATTCAACAGTGGGCATCTCTATGCCAGAAGAGGATTGCATAATAGAGGGGGATGTAGGCAAAACAAAAACTAGCAATATTATATTAGTAGAGAATACAGGTCCAGTAGAAAGGGCAATAACAGTTAATGGGAAGAAAGCAGAAGTGAACAAAAATAAGATTTGAGACATCTGGCCTTAACTATTTCACAAGTCAGTAGACTGGTTAAGTACCAGGTTGTACTCGGTAGTACTCGGGCACTTACTAGTAACCAGTACAGTTAGCCAAATAGCACTAAGGAATGGTCTGCTCAGCAACCTGAGCAGCCAATCAGGATGCTTGCGCACCAGTACAAGCATGATGAGCAGAGGGAGATGAGCTACAAAACTGGCCACCAAAACAATGTCCAACAAGAGTTGTCACGTTCGATACTGCAGGACCGGCAAGCCAGTCAATAGTAAGGCAATGCAGTTGAAGCACAATAAAATAAACACAACTAACCCTTGGGTACAGGCAGGGGCGTACACACAACCCATAGAACCCTGGTACGAAACTGATCCATGGGCCCCCCCTCTACCACCCTGACAGACACACACATACACACGAAGACACAAACACACAGACAGACACATACATACACACGACACATACATACAAACAAAAAGGCACACATACATACAGACAGACACACATGGCAAACATACATACAAAGACACATACATACAAACAGACAGACAGAGACACATAAATTCAAACAGACAGACAGGCACACATACAGATAAGACACACATACATACAGACAGACAAGCACACATACACACAGACAGACACACACACATACAGACAGAGACACACACAGACAGACACACATACATAAAAACATACAGACACACACATACATACAGACAGACACACACATACATACAAAGACACATACATACAGACAGGCACACATACATACATACAGACAGACAGACACATACATACAGACAGACACATACACACACACACACACACACACACACAAGACATACATACAAAGACACATACATGCAAACAGACAGGCACACATATATACAGAAAATATAGAGGAAGGGCTGCGCTTAAAAAATAAATATATATATAAAAGTCCAGATGAAATAAATAAATAGATAAATAAATGAAGAGGTCTTATCTTGCAGTGTCCACAGTGCTTAGTCAGAGGTAATAATCTTGTTTTCTGTCTTGCTTTCTGTCTTTCTTGTGGATCGTCTCTTATGTAAGATATAAAAACAAATACAAAACCACAATGGTGCAGTATATCTATATGGGTGAGGAGTAAAATATAAAAGGCTTGATTGCAAACTCACATATCCAAGAGCTAGAACCTGCTCTGGTATAGAAGGCGTACAGCGGTTTAGATCCCCGCTTATGGGATATAGGATTGTTGTCCTCCACGTGTTTCCTCCTTCCGTGATTTAAGAGATGCTCAAAATAAAAAGAGACAGCCAATAGTGTTCTCTGCGTAAAATTAAACTCCAATATAAAATAAAATAAAAAATGGATACTCACAAGACAGGAGCAGGTCAACTGCTCCTGATATTTCGCACTGGTGGAATAATCCCCACCTAGGATTGCTTGGAGTCCAACGAATGATGCCAGGTAGTAATAATAATTATATGTGTATTAAAAGATAAGTAGTACAATAAAAGATTATAAAATATACTTTAATTGTAACATTACACAATATAAAAAAACCATAAACGCGTTTCGCCAATCGGCGTTATCAATATGGGTAAAAAAAGCTTTTTTTACCCATATTGATAACGCCGATTGGCGAAACGCGTTTATGGTTTTTTTATATTGAGACTTATGGGATATAGGATTGTTGTCCTCCACGTGTTTCCTCCTTCCGTGATTTAAGAGATGCTCAAAATAAAAAGAGACAGCCAATAGTGTTCTCTGCGTAAAATTAAACTCCAATATAAAATAAAATAAAAAATGGATACTCACAAGACAGGAGCAGGTCAACTGCTCCTGATATTTCGCACTGGTGGAATAATCCCCACCTAGGATTGCTTGGAGTCCAGCGAATGATGCCAGGTAGTAATAATAATTATATGTGTATTAAAAGATAAGTAGTACAATAAAAGATTATAAAATATACTTTAATTGTAACATTACACAATATAAAAAAACCATAAACGCGTTTCGCCAATCGGCGTTATCAATATGGGTAAAAAAAGCTTTTTTTACCCATATTGATAACGCCGATTGGCGAAACGCGTTTATGTTTTTTTTATATTGTGTAATGTTACAATTAAAGTATATTTTATATGTGTATTAAAAGATAAGTAGTACAATAAAAGATTATAAAATATACTTTAATTGTAACATTACACAATATAAAAAAACCATAAACGCGTTTCGCCAATCGGCGTTATCAATATGGGTAAAAAAAGCTTTTTTTACCCATATTGATAACGCCGATTGGCGAAACGCGTTTATGGTTTTTTTATATTGTGTAATGTTACAATTAAAGTATATTTTATAATCTTTTATTGTACTACTTATCTTTTAATACACATATAATTATTATTACTACCTGGCATCATTCGTTGGACTCCAAGCAATCCTAGGTGGGGATTATTCCACCAGTGCGAAATATCAGGAGCAGTTGACCTGCTCCTGTCTTGTGAGTATCCATTTTTTATTTTATTTTATATTGGAGTTTAATTTTACGCAGAGAACACTATTGGCTGTCTCTTTTTATTTTGAGCATCTCTTAAATCACGGAAGGAGGAAACACGTGGAGGACAACAATCCTATATCCCATAAGCGGGGATCTAAACCGCTGTACGCCTTCTATACCAGAGCAGGTTCTAGCTCTTGGATATGTGAGTTTGCAATCAAGCCTTTTATATTTTACTCCTCACCCATATAGATATACTGCACCATTGTGGTTTTGTATTTGTTTTTATATCTTACATAAGAGACGATCCACAAGAAAGACAGAAAGCAAGACAGAAAACAAGATTATTACCTCTGACTAAGCACTGTGGACACTGCAAGATAAGACCTCTTCATTTATTTATCTATTTATTTATTTCATCTGGACTTTTATATATATATTTATTTTTTAAGCGCAGCCCTTCCTCTATATTTTTTGTGTCTTATCCTTAAGGGTTCTTGAGGGATTCCCTTCTTAGGGTTGCTGCTCATTTGTGTTATTTAGCGCTTACTCACCTGTTTTTAACACATATATACAGACAGATAGACACAGACACATACATACATACATACAAACAAACACACACACACACACACATAATATTTAAGTCACCCTCCTGTTTCATACCTTTTAGGTGCAGGAGGGTGACTTTCCCTGGGGTCCAGTGGTGGCTCAGATTGATAGGAGTCAGAGTTCCCACTCTGACTCCCTCTGCCTCCTCCCGCGCGGGGTCTGGGAGAAGTGATGGGGAGTCACTTCCTCCCAGCGTGTGATGATGTCATAACAGGGGGCCAGGTCGCGCTGTTAAAGCACCGCAGCGCTGACCGGGCCCCCTGAAAATCCATCTCCATCGAGTGGCCGATGGGCATCTTAACATGTAGCCCCAGCAGCTTGCTGCGCAGGCCGGGGCCGCAAATGATGATGGTGGGTACAGGGGTAGGAGATAGCTGTGGGGGAAGGGGGTGGGAACCCCTTAACTGTAACAAGGGCAAAAACAAAAAAGGACAATGAACAAAACACTAAGAAATTTAAATTTAACAATATCAAGGTAAAGGAAAATACATACTATGTAAAAATAGCAATACAAAGCAGTTAGGAAAAACACGGGTAAAATACAGCACACAGAAACAGATGTCAGGTACTTAGCTGAGTAGGCAGCAGCAAAGAAAGAGGAGTGGCTTAGGGTTACATGGGTGGATATGTTCTGTGGAATGTCCTTATTGCCTACTGTGGTATTATGGTTAACCCTTGCTAGGGTTATTGTTTTGGTTTTTTTGCTCTTTCTATACTTCTTTCTTTCTTTTTCCTTCCCTTTGTTTTTTCTTTTATAAGAACATACTAAAGTTTACAATTTCTTGTTTCCAATACACACTACTTATTATAGTACTTGTGTCGTAGTATTCATCATTTTGTAAGGAAAGGATGAAAAAATAACGAGAATGAGAGAGACAGTACATGGGATCCTAGGTTTTTTAGATGCCCATACAAATTTAGAAAATATCAGTTCATTTTTTTTCAAAATAGAATTTGAAATTTGATATGGTATAACTCTAAATAAATAGAGTAATTTCTGGTATACATAAGATTTCAAGACTCTCAGACGTGAGATGTCTAATCTCTTCCATTGTGCCAGTAATATATTAAGTTCTCCCTGCAGGGTTTCATAATTAATTATAATGGTCTCTGATGTTTTTGATCTAATCTTGACACCTAGATACTCTATGGATTTTTGATGTATATCAAATTGACCAATATTGTCAATATCTTTCCTCTGATCATCAGTCATATAAAATGTCAATAGTTAAGCTTTAAAAAGATTTCATTTATAACTATACAATGAGGAAAATAGATCTATTGCGTATAACAGGGTAAAGGAGGTATAATCGAGGATCCTGGAGAAGAGAGTTAGAGAAGAACATTATCTGCATTTAACGTGATAGTATGTTCTTGATGGCAAATTCCTTGAATTTTGTTCTTATTTTGAATAAATGCAGCTAATGGTTGGATTATTAAGGCATACAGTAGAGGTGCAAGGGGGAACCCCTGTTGTGTGCCGTTTTGAATCAATATAAGGGCCTCTAACTTTTGCAGTTAGGTTCTTATGGAGAGCCTTTACCTAATCTACAAATGTGCCATTTATACCAAACACCCACAATGTTTCAAGCATGTACCTCCAGTCTACTCGATCAAATGCCTTTTCAGCATCGAGCACCATTAAGATAGAAGGGGTTTATTTAAGATGTACTTCCTCTACATCGTTAAAATTTTTATGGGTGTTATCCTCCCTTGATCTGCCCTGCATCAATCCAGCCTGGTCTGGATGAATGAGTTCAATGATCACTCAATTCAGTCTTTGGGCTAAAATTTTAGAAAAAAGCTTAACATCTAGATTAATAAGGGAGATGGGTCTATAGTTGGTCTGTATTGGATCTTTTCCTGGCTTTAGAATGAGAGATATAGTGAACTCCATCATCTCTGGAACAAAGCCAGCTTCTCCCCTAATTTAATTGAACATTCTGCTTAAAATAGATTAATTACTGGATCAAGGATTTGAAAAAATAGTACCGTAAAGCTGTCCGGTCCTGGAGCCTTACCTTTTTTCATTTTCTTTATTGCTGATGATATTTCTAATAATGATGGTCATCTCCAGGGTGGTACCCAACATCAAAAAGAAGTCAATTCATGATTATGATCCGTGTGGAGATGAATAGAAGGAGTAATCACATTCCTTAAAATGATGCACCCTCCATACATCATATAGATTATTTTTAACCCCTTAAGAACGGAGCTAAATGTACACGTTGTGAACGAAACAAAATGTAAACAAAACCTGGCATTTGCGCTACATGTCTGTCCAACTGTAATTCGCCTCTTTCATATTATTACACCCACCCTTATTATATATCATTTTATTCAGGGGAAACAGGGCTTTCATTTAATATCAAATATTTAGCTATGAAACATAATTTAATATGAAAAAAATGGGAGAAAATTAGATTTTTAAAACATTTTTTAGTTCTACATGACATTTTAAAGGTCAATGTCATAATACTGTTTGCTTTTACTGCAATACAATACACATATTTGTATTCATCAAAGTCTCACGTGTAAAACAGTACCCCCTATGTACAGGTTTTATGGCGTTTTGGGAAGTTACAGGATCAAATATAGCACGTTACATTTGAAATTGAAATTCGCCAGATTGGTTACGTTGCCTTTGGGACTTTATAGTAGCCCAGGAAAGAAATTTACACCCATAATGGCATATCATTTGTAATAGTAGACAACCCAAGGTATTGCAAATGGGGTATGTCCAGTCTTTTTTAGTAGCCATTTGGTCACAAATACTGGATAATATTGTGTAACACTATAATACTAATATTTGTGTTCAGCGAAGTCTCCCGAGTAGAACAGTACCCCCCATTTACAGGTTTTATGGTGTCTTGGAAAGTTATAGGGTTAAATATAGTGCTAGCAAATTAAATTCCCTTTACTTTCGGCATGGGTTGTCAGGCAGGTCCCGCTACTTGTAATTAAGATAGCTAATTATGTAAAAATATTATATAAATATATATGTAGAATTAATATATGTATACATATACGTATGTGAATATATATGTATATATAAATTTTTTTAAATATTTTTATTTATATATAGGTATATATATAGTGATATATACGTATATATTTATGTATATAGATATATATATATTATTTAGTTCTACGTGTATTTTAATATAAATATATATATATATATTAATATCACAATATAGTTAGAACGAAATAACACACATCCATATATTTTGTAATTATTATTTTTTATTTATTTTTTTACGTATTTACATATTTAATTTTTTTATATTGTATATAAATATATATATAACAATAATTATATATATATTTAATCAGTATCAGTCTACGTGTAATTTGATATTAATATATATATATATAATTATATATATATTAATAGTAAAATACACCTAGACAGTATATGTGTGTGTATGTGTATATATATATATATACTTAGATCATATATATGAGATATATATGATCTAAGTATATATTTTCTTTTTTTTTACACTTATTAAACTTTTTTAAATTTTATTTATTTTATTTCCAGCCGGCAGGGGGACCACCTGTCATTACAGGCAGCCCCCCTGCTGGCAATGCTGCAGCCAGCTATCCCGGCCATGTGATTGTGAGGTCCCTCTCACATGGCCGGGGGGGCTTCCAGGGGGTCGGAAGTGCCGCGGGGGGCTCCCTGGGAGTACCCCCAACTGGGTATGTAAGAAAAGACCGGAGGGGGTACTATTACGCCCGGCGACGTTTAGAGCCGCCTAAAATAAGTAATAGTACGCCCTCCAGTCTTAAGGGGTTAAAGAGAGAATTTGAAAAAGATTTGACCTTAGTTCTATTATTTTATATTTATAATCTTTGATTAACTATTTGTCCTTCTATCTTTGTCAGGATCACAAATCCAGTTTAGATCTTCTCCTATCACCAACAAACCCTTTTTGAAATGTTCTCAATAATTTCAATGGAAATTTGACTGAATGTTCAGATGTTGCATATTAACTAACAAGGGTATACGTAATATCATTAAAACGACAAATCAGAATCATACGTCTTCATTGTCACAATCATGATGTATATGTCCATCAGAAAATTTCCTGGTGGGTCGCGGCACCTGTGGATGATCAGATAGCCCTAAATTAGGCTAGTTTCATTTAAATTATTTTCCCCTCAGACTGTGACAGCCTGTCTCAGTCTGAGGGGATTAAGGAGGGAGGTGCTGGGAACTGGAGCGGCCACAATTAGGCTTGTGGTTGCCGGAGGGAACACTGGAAGTCATCCTTCATTGCCAAGCAATTTGGCACCGCATGCCCCATCCCTGGACTTAAGACCTGCCTCACAATCACAAACCCCACCTGCAACCTTCGCCCCCCCACACGCAAGCTGCTGCCCTCGCTGGAAGGAAGAGGCCAGAGAATGACAACTTCACCTACTAGTGCCAGGTAAGCTTCAGCCCATGATAGTGATTGTGTGTCTGTGTGTGCCAGTGAGTGAGCTTGAGTGTGTGTATTTATGTGTCTGCTAGTGAGTGAGCATGTGTGTGTGTGCCAGCTAGTGAGTGAGCTTGTGTGTGTGTGTGTCTGCTAGTGAGTGAGCTTGTGTGTGTGTGCCTACTAGTGAGTGAGCTTTTGTGTGCCTGCTAGTGAGTGAGCTTGTGTGTGTGTCTGCTAGTGAGTGAGTTTTTGTGTTTGTGTCTGCTAGTGAGTGAGCTTGTGTGTGTTTGTGTGTATGTCTGCTAGTGAGTGAGCTTGTGTGTGTGTCTGCTAGTGAGTGAGCTTGTGTGTGTGCGTCTGTGCTAGTGAGTGAGCTTGTATGTGTGTGTGTCAGTGAGCTTGACTGTAGTGAGCATGTGTGTGTCAGTGTCCTTGTGTGTAGGGAGCATGTGTGTGTCAGTGAGCATATCTGTAGTGAAAAGCTTGTGAGTGTCTGCTAGTGAGTGAGCTTGTGTGTGTGCGTCTGTGCTAGTGAGTGAGCTTGTATGTGTGTGTGTCAGTGAGCTTGTCTGTAGTGAGCATGTGTGTGCCAGTGTCCTTGTGTGTAGGGAGCATGTGTGTAGTCAATGAGCTTGTCCATGGTGAGCATGTGTGTGATGGTGAGCTTGTCTGTTTTAAGCATGTATGTGACGGTGAGCTTGTCTGTAGGGAGCATGTGTGTGTGTCAGTGAGCTTGTCTGTGGTGAGCTTGCATGTCACAGTGAGCTTTACTGTAGGGAACATGTGTGTGTCAGTAACTTTGTGTGTCAGTGGGCTTGTCTGTAATAATATGTATGGCTATGTCTCGCCACCCCAGATAATTGAGTAATTTATAAACACATACAAAAACAAAACAAAAAAAATACAATATATATATAAATATATATTGATTTTCTTACCCCTCCTTGGTGGTTTGTTTATTCCTCATTCTCAGGTCCTCTATCAGAGGCCTGGGAGTTTGATGGTTCTGCACAGTATCTTAGCTGTTCCTAGAACTGCACTCTTTTGGACAGCGATCTCAGATGTCCCACCTGGAATCTGTTGAAGACACTCCCCAAACTTGTCCCACCTGGAATCTGTTGAAGCCACTCCCTGAATGTTCTACCACAACTGGGACTACTACTGCCTTCACTTTCCACATCCTTTCTAGTTCTTCTTTCTGTCATTGGTATTTCTCCACCATCTCATGTTCCTTCTTCCTGATGTTATATTGGATGGGTATTGCCACATCCACCATGACTGTAGTCTTCCGTTCCTTGTCTACCACCACAATGTTGGGTTGGGTACCACCACTTGCTTGTCTGACTGGCGCTTGAATTCCTGGAAGCTAAAAACATCCCAGTTCTTCCATGGCCAGCATGCTCACTGGACATGTTACCCATTGAGCATGTTTGGGATGCCCAGGAGCGACATATACGACAGAGTGTTCCAGGTACTGCCAATATCCAGCAACTTTGCACAGCCATTGAAGAGGAGTGGACTAGAGTAAAACTGCACATTTTAGAGTGGCCTTTTATTGTGGCCAGCCTAAGGCACACCTGTGCAATAATCATGCTGTCTAATCAGCATCTTGATATGCCACACCTGTGAGTTGGATGGATTATCTCGGCAAAGGAGAAGTGCTCACTAACACAGATTTAGACAGATTTGTGAACAATATTTGAGAGAAACAGGCCTTTTGTGTACATAGTTCAGCTCATGAAAAATGGGGGCAAAAACAAAAGTGTTGCATTTAAAATTTTGTTCAGTGTATTTATGTACTTTGATTTTATGTTATTTATTCAAGTTTATTTTATGGTTTAGAAATAAATTGGGAGGGCGTGGCCTGGACGAGCATGGTGCAGGACGCATAGTGCGAGAGCTCTGCACCCCTGGCCGGCTAAAGTAGCTATCAAAGCACGGTAAAGAGAAGCGATGGTGAGAACAAAGAAGCCCCTACCCTCGGGAGCTGCGGCGGCAAGCTCCCCGCACCGTAATACCGGCCCCATGGATGATTTCATCGCTACCCCGTCCGACCTTCGCGGCACCCGCCATGTGGACAAAATGGCGCCCGGGTCCCCAGACTCTGAAATGACGGGGGACTCCCAGTCGGAACCCAACCAAGCAGGAGACCTGTCTCAAATCAGAATGGAGCTCTCTCAGATCTCCAGGAGGATGCTCACCAAAGCTGACACAAGCCCCATTGTACAGGAACTTAGAGCTGCACTGAGGGAAGAGCTGGCGGGCCTGCGCGAAGATCTGTCCACCCTGGAGCAGAGAGTAGATGAAATGGAGTCAGTGGCGAGGGGCTGCGACGACCAGCACAGAGCAACTGAAGTGGCAGTTACCAGGCAGGGTAACATGCTCCTTACCCTCCGGAGACAAGTGGAGGATTTGGAGAACAGAAGCAGACGCAATAATATCCGCGTTCGCGGCCTGCCTGAAAAGGAAGACGAGCCGCTCCCAGACACCCTGTCAATGCTGTTCACACAGCTCCTCGGAGCTGCACCGCCCGCTACGATCACCATAGACCGCGCTCACAGAGCCCTGGGGCCCGCGAGACAGGAGGGCAGCCCCAGGGATGTGGTCTGCTGCATCACCACTCCAGGCCTAAGAGACAGAATTATGGCGGCGGCCAGGGGCCTTCCATCCATACAGTTTCGCGGAACAGCAGTCTCACTATACCAAGATCTCTCTAGCCTGACCCTAGATGCGAGGCGGGCCCTGAGGCCGGTCACCAGTGCCCTGAGAGACAAGGGGATTCCGTATCGCTGGGGTTTCCCGTTCAGTCTGCAGGCGAAACATGGGAATGCTTGGATCACGGCCCGCTGGCCGGAAGACGTCCCAAGGTTCCAGAGGGCCCTGGGTTTAGCACCATCGAGAATTCGCAACTGGATTCTGGACGAAGCGGCTGCTTCACGAAGAGATCCACTGCTGCCACTCCAGGACGCCGATGCGGCTACAGGTAGACCACCGGAGCCGCGCAGGAGAGGTGGGCCTAACGGCCCGGAAGAATAGGACGCTATCGCACAGGTCAGCTGGGAATTTGGCGGGCTGTCTGTCTGTGTTGGGGACCACATCTCTGGACTGATATTTGGGGAGGGGGGTCTGTGGACTGGGGGATACTCAGACTGGCTCACAGGTCTGTGACTTTCGGTATCTGTAGCACACGGTACGACCTGGCCCTGCCAATGCCACGTGCCCATGAGAATAACAGCCACCAAGGGATTCTGTGAGACCGGGGAGAATTACATGGCCAGGGACTACTGCCTACATATTAGTTGGGACCTTACTCCGGGTCACTTCACTCCGATGGTCTATGCTGGATCTTTGGGAGGGGAGAGGGGTCATAGCGGGACATATGGGTCTCCTTTTCACAGAAGGAGGCCGTACAGGGACCTATTGTTTGGGGCCTCAACACCAGATCTCAAGCTTTGTATTTAAATGTAGGATGTATTTCGGTAACCGCACTCACTACTTGCCTAATTAGCTGCACGATAGATTGGAGCCGAGGATTTGACCTGTCAGGGGCTAGATGGGGACGCCTCTAGACGGCGGAGGTAGGGGGTTAGGAGCAAGGGCTTGAGAGACTGGGACCGCACGAGCCCGAGGACAGCTCCCATGATAGGTGACCTTAGTCTGGCTGACACGCACTCCTGCATTCTAGGTGACTGAGACACAGGGGACCCAGGCCCAAACCAAGGTAGCAGACGACAACATTGGCCTAAACGCTCCAAACGGCTTTACGCCATCCACCCTGCCAGAGTCCCACACCCATGGCTGTTGCCCCGACCCTGCCCGCACTTAGCCATACTGCTGCTGACCCACGGAAAAGTGACCACAGATCACCTGCGACCGGCTGCGCACGGACCCCCCCACCCCACTGAGGAGGACTAAAAGCCAAGGAGGCCGTGATCACACACGGTCCCCGGACAGACAGGGGTGCCCTCCTACACTTCAGTGATACCAGCGACCTCAGGGAGGGCGACCACTTGCATAACCGCATACGGTTCCCGAAACGACTGACTGGGATTGACAGCCACCACGCATACTGACCGGCCTACATACCCTCGGCCAGGGGGGCAGACGACTAGTGGTTTGACTCACACACACTTCACCGACACCCTTGGAGGGTATCGACTGCAACGGACTGACAAGCCCATCCTACATAGTTAGAGAACACCCACACTGGGCACGTGGGTTACAGTGTGATCTAGCCACCCAGCCCGGGCTCTGTACCGGTGCTCGCTTGGTCTAGCGCCCCGCGACAGACACCACATCTAAATTTGGTGGGAGACGGTGGCCCACCCCCTAGGAGTGGCCCACGCGAATCATCCTCCACCGGTGTCGAGTCCCCGTGACCCCAGAGGGGTCCTAACTAAACCCCCTCCTCCTCTCTTGCTCTCTCACCTGCTAGCTACTTCCCCCCCCCCCTCTCTCCCCCTTTGCCCGGAACGATGGGATCGGGATTCACTCCTGCGCCTCTCCACATCTGGTCAAATAACACCAGGGGCCTCAATGTGCCGGAGCGGAGATCGCATCTCTTGCGCACCCTGTGGAGTGAGAAGGTATCCATAGCGTTCCTCCAGGAGACACACTTCCGGGGTGACAGGGGCCCTTCGCTACGCGACTCCCGATTCCCACAGGGTTACTTTGCCAATCATCCTACGTCAAAAAGGGCAGGAGTGGCGATCTTACTGGCCAGCACAGTCCCGTTCGTTTGTACGGGGACTGAGTCAGACCCTATGGGACGCTCCCTCTTCATCAAAGGCTTTATAGCTGAATGCATGTACACCTTTGCCTGTGTATATGCCCCAAACATACACCAACGCAAATTCCTCAGACAGACGCTGACCAAGCTGGAGAGGTTCCGAGAGGGCTTTCTAATAATGGCCGGGGACCTGAATGTCGCCCTGGAACCGGGAACGGACACGTCCAGAGGAGTGAGCTCGTTCTCACCACAAGGCTTGAGGTCCATCAGAAATGGGTTGCGGGACGCTGGTCTTGTGGATGCCTGGAGGGCGCTTCACCCCTGCGATACAGATTTTACTTATTACTCTACAGTCCACAAACGATATAGCAGACTGGATTACGTGTTCCTGGCCCAGGAGCTGCTACCTATGCTCCTTTCGGCAGACATACGCCCCATGGGATGGTCTGACCACTCACCGGTATCGATACGAATTCGATCCCCACTGTTCCGCCCGACTGAGCGCCAGTGGCGCATGAACGAATCCATCCTTACCGACGTGCCTATTGCCGCGGACATCCGCACGGCTCTCACCAACTTCTTCGAAGAAAACGAATCCCCGGACATCCCGGCACTCTCGATCTGGGAAACGCACAAGTGCGTCATTCGGGGACTGCTCATTAAAATATGCTCACACCGGAGCAGGACACAGAAACAGCGTATAAAGGAGCTAACCGCACAAATCACACAACTGGAAAATGACCACAAGACTACCCAGACGGCCGATAACTACAGAGCCCTCCTATGCGCCAGGAAGTCCCTACGGGATATTCTGCACAGGAAGCTACAGTACACCATCCGTAAATCCCAACGCTTCTTCTATGAGTATTCCAACAAGTGTGGCCGTCTTCTTGCCCGGACGCTTCAAAAGAGGTGCCGACTGTGCCACATCACGAAGATCAAGACCAGTGACCAGTCAACCTCACAGCTACCGGATAGAATAACTGGCGCATTTCGCGGATTTTACGAAGAGCTTTATAACCTACCCACAGACCGCTCCGCAGAGGCCGACCGCCGCAGGGACGCAGAGATAGAGGCATACCTCCAACGACACGTAATGAACACCTTAAGCCGCGAGCAGGCGGAGGAACTGGATGCCCCTCTAACTCTGGAAGAACTCCAATTGGCGCTGAAGGGCGCCAAAATGAACAAAGCCCCGGGCCCGGACGGCTTCCCGGCGAGATATCTTAAGGAATTTGGTGATGTCCTGCTACCTAAATTACTTACGGGCCTTAACTCCCTCCTGGAGGGCGAGACCCTCCCTCGGGACATTCTAACGGCCACCATCACCGTTATCCTTAAGGAAGGAAAGGACCCGATCAACTGTGCGAGCTACAGGCCGATATCCCTCCTAAACGCTGACCTGAAGCTCTTCACGAAAGTCATCGCCACGCGCATAGGCAGGATCCTACCAGAGCTGGTACACCCAGACCAGGTCGGATTCATCCCGGGAAGAGAAGCTAGGGACAACACTATACGGGCCCTGAATGTCATCCAGGCGGCACGACAGTCCTCGCAAAAGATCCTACTCCTCTCGACAGATGCGGAAAAGGCCTTTGACAGGGTCGACTGGCGCTTCATGAAGGCTACGCTGAGGGCCATGGCCTTTGGGTCGCGTATACTGGCGTGGATCTCCTCCCTGTACGTGGACCCGACTGCACGTATCCGGATCAATGGCGCTCTATCTGAGCCTATCCGGATTCGAAACGGAACACGACAAGGCTGCCCGCTTTCCCCCCTTCTGTTTGCCCTCTCCCTAGAGCCTTTTCTGGGGGCGGTCAGACGGGACGGGGGAATAGGGGGACTCAATGTATACGGGCAGACACATAAGGTAGCGGCCTACGCCGACGATATGCTGTTTTTCGTTGCTGATCCATTGGTGTCCCTGCCGAATTTGCTGAAGGCTTTTGCGGAATACGGTAGGGTGTCTAACATGAAGCTGAACACGGATAAGTCAGAGGCTCTCCCCATTACCATTAACGAGGAACTGACCGAACACTTGAAAACCCAATTTGCCTTCACGTGGTGCTGCCATAAAATCAAATACCTGGGAATATGGCTCTCGGCGGATTTAACCCAACTTTACACCCACAACTTCGCTTCCGATGCTTCACACCCTGAAAACAGACCTGACACGCTGGGCGAGCCTATGTGTGTCCTGGTTCGGAAGAATAAACGCTATAAAAATGAACCTCTTGCCCCGCCTCCTTTATCTATTCCAAACCATTCCCATTAACCCGCCTATCTCCTTCTTCAGATCCGTCGAGACAGCCATCACAAAGTTTATCTGGTGTTCTAAGACCCCCAGATTAAAGAAAATCCACCTTCACCAACCGAAAGATCGAGGTGGAATTGGCCTCCCATCTATAAGAGACTACCACAGGGCGACACACCTGCTCAGAGTAGTGGATTGGCATGTGCCCAGGACCGACAAAGCGTGGATCAACCTGGAACGGGCACAACTGGGGGGCACCCTCCCGGCGGTTGCCTGGCTTGGAGGCCCACTGACGAACTCGCGGACCCGGAACCACCCCCTGATAGGGGCGACACTGCGGACCTGGTACTCCATACGGACGAAGCTCCAGCTGTCCACCACACCGGGACCGCTCACCCCGATTACACACAATCCGGAACTAGCGGGGTGCCTCACTCCCCGGGATATCGAGGCGTTTGGAGATGCGGAATGGACGTTCATGCGCCAATGGTGTACAGAGGACGCATTAAAGCAACTCCCGGACCTGATACGAGAGGCAGTGCCATCGGGCCTTGACAGGCTCCGGTACTTCCAAGTTAAGACTTACTACCAGTCACACGTTGGACGCCGCCTGTTCCATAGACCGACCACAGAGCTCGAAGACCTGTGTGTGCAACAAGCTCATATGGCCCGCGGGGTCTCTACCCTCTACAAAATGATCATCTCCGCATCAGTCGGGGAACCCATGAAACATATGACACGCTGGGAGGAGGCCGCAGGTATCACACTCTCAGGCCCCCAGTGGACGAAAATACACATTCTGTCCCACCAAAGCTCCATGAGTTCCAAACACCAAGAACTAAACTATAAACTACTGACTGGCTGGTACAGGACCCCGGCGAGGCTCCACCGGATGATTCCCGAAGTCTCCGAGATCTGCTGGAGGTGCGGCACGGGGACGGGCACTGACTTACATATTTGGTGGTCATGCGAAAAGATAGCCACGTACTGGCGGCAAGTCCATGCAAAGATTAAGGACATTATGGATATAGAGCTCCCCTTCCAGCCGCTGCA